ATGGTAGTCTGAATTTTACCACCTTGTGGGCATACTAAAAACCACTGAATAGTGTACACTTAAAAAAGATGAATCTTAAGCTATGTAAATTATATATCAATAAAATTTTTGTAGAGATGGAAATAAAAAGACTGGAAATCTAGGGCAAAAGAAAACAGGATGAATGCAAGATGAGGAAAGGAAATTCAGTACAAGTCATGTTGGCGGACACTAGCAGTGGTGGTGCCTGTGGGAATCAGAGCAGTCCTGCCTCCAACACAAGAAGCCCTGTGATCTGTGCCAGGAGTAACAGCCTCCACTAGGGGCTCTGCAGAAGCACAATTTCTCCTGGGGCTGATATTTGAGAGTCAAATTTCCTGCAGTTTAGATATTTCCATCAGTTTAGCAAAATCTGGATAGGCTGTAAGGCTGACAACTGTGTCCAAAGCAATAATCACTTGAGAACTTTTCCAGGTGCCCCATCACTCTGCATTGTACAGCATATTCTTTAACATGTTTATTTCATCTTTCAATTCACTAAGTGCTTGCTGAGCACTTGCCCATTTTCCTTTATTTGCAAAATGTAGGAATTTAACCTATCTTTGAGCACAATTTGGGAATAAGGTTTAAGTTTCTATGATACAATGTTGCCATTTAAAAATAAAGGTAACATAATGCTCCTACCCCCTTTTGAGAATATAGTGTTCCATTTTATTAACATCTTTTCTACTTCTTTTTTTTTTTTTTTTTTTTTTACATTTTTATGTTTTGCTATTTACTGGTCAAAACCACTGTAGCTCATTCAGATTCAGAAAAGAGACTATAAACATGTATGGCATGTTAATGCAAGATATTGTTTCATTATGAATGTGCCTATATTGTTAATTTCATCTAAATAGTACATGCAGTATTTATAGGAGGCTAAAAGGCATAAAGTATTCTTGTATGTGAAACGCTCCAATTAAAAAGAGTTATGTTAGCTGTTAAGTTTTAAAAAGATGTTTATTCAATTCAAACGCAGAATTGATAAAATTTTCTCCTTAAAACTGTAAAGAACAAAAAGCTGGAATTACCCATCAACAGTACAATAGAATTCCAGTTTATTCTGAGAGCAGATCAGCCAAGATGAACAAACGAGTCTTGTAATTGCATACCAGAGGTCAAAAATTAGCCCTACCAAATGAGGAGGGAGAGGAATTGCTGAAACCTAGAAGAAAGGTCATAATATTTGGACTGAATAAAAGCAATTCACTAATAGCAATTTCCCTTTATCTGACAGCAATTGTAGAAAGTTTTAACAAATCCTGTTAAAATGGACGAAAACTATTTCCTGAATAGTTAAGAAAAGATTATAATAAATGTCAAGTATTCTACAGCATGTATAGAATCTCATTTCCAAGGGAGCATGCTGTTTTCTTCAGCATCCTGTTAGCCAAGTTCCAATTTTGGACAGGTCCTGGGAAACACAACATCGTTAAAGACAGAGATGAAACAAGGTGATTAATTGTAAGCACATTTCTGTAGATAGTATTGCACTTGGAATGTGTAAAAATCTCTCTGAAGCTTGGTAGAGATAAGGGTTGTAAACAGATTTGAAATCCACACGGCAATAGATCACGTGCTAATCTTTGCCCAAAGTTCTATGTTGTTGAGAATGATTCTGATATATTATTTTAAAGGAGAGAGTGTCGTATGAATTCCAGATCTTTGTCATGGACAAAGAATCTAAGTGCTATTCATTTGTGGTTCCTGATTCATTTGTTCTTTGAGAGATTAGCTAAAATGAAGGGAGTGGGTGAAAGAACCACCAATTCTTTTCCTGTGTCTACAGTAAATACAAACAGATCTCCAGCCGTTACTACATCTCTCCCTCCCGTCAGATGGAAGATGTAACATCCTCCATGAACGCTTACTTTGTTACTACAAAATGGAAAGAGACACTTCTGCTGTGGTGAAATGTATATGGCAAACCCAAATAATTTAGGCCACAAAATACCCTACTTTAGCCAGAATGATAAGAGTAATCTACTTTTTCCATTTCACTCTGAGCATACTGTCCTACATACATTTTATTTATTCGTTCCTTGCTACAATGTAAAGGCAGAATATACTTTTAAAAATAATTATTCATCAACATTTAAGACAAATGATCAAAGCTTGAGTTTATTGTTATACAATGTTGCTCTTTCATCTTTATTTCTGAACAGCAAATCTCATCAAGCATGATTGAGTTTTGCTTACTTGTATCTTCTCCCATACTTCTGCATTTACTATGTGTATAGCTCTTCAGAATAAAATTAAGATAGGAGTAAACCAGTACAATTCAGCAGCATCAGTAACTTAACCAAACATATAAAAGTCTTTCCCGACTGACCCTGAATGACCATTTAGCCCCCTTTCAAATTTTGGCATCAAATTTCTACTTACAAAAAGTATATAGTTTCAATCAGGAGGGCAGGGCATTGATGACCACAAGTAACAAGAAAAATGAATGCTACGAAGACGCACATAAAATAATAAAGGAAAAAAGCAAGAAAATGATAGCAAGGAGAGGTGGGGATTTACTTGTTGTCAGAGGAGGAAACACTTATTTTTCTACTGTGAAAGAAGGAGAAATAACCCAGTCTAAAAAAAGAGGTGCTTTCTTGAAATAGTTTCTGCTGGAGTCCCCATTATTTTAAATATGATGGGAGCTGGAGTTGTGCAGAATATTTTGGGATGCTTTCCACATGGATTTATGATTCTCAAAAAGAATCAGCATCAATTAAACTATAGTTGACCCTTGAACAGTATGGGGGTCAGGGGAACGGACCCGCTACACAGTAGAAAATTCATGTACAATTTCGACTCCTCATAAACTTAACTACTAATACCCTACTGTTGTAAGAAAATCATAAGGAAGATAAAATATACTTACTGTTTATTAAGTGGAAGTGGATCATCAGAAAGACTTTCATCCTCATCGTCTTCACACTGAGTGGGCTGAAGAGGAGGAGGAAGAGACATTGAGTGGGCTGAAGAGGAGGAGGAAGAGACATTGAGTGGGCTGAAGAGGAGGAGGAAGAGGAAGGGTTAGTCTTGCTGTGTTAGGGGTGGCAGAGGGGAAGAAAATCCATTCAAAAGCGGACCCTCCCAGTTCAAACCCCTGTTGTTCAAGGGTCAACCGCACAATCAAGTTTTGATGAGAAGATTCAGTTTTCAAACTTGATTTTAAGCAGGTATGTATCTAGGTACTCAAATTCAGATGTAATATTACATGGAATTTAAACACTCCTGGTTAAGCAGAAATAGAAGAATCGTTACCTAAGTAGAAAAATCGTTACCTAAGTAGAAATCAACCTATGAGAGGAAAGCTCAGGAAAGAGCCAGGGTCCTGGCATAATAAAGAGTTGTAGGCATGACATATGTTTGTGTTTATTCGTGTATATCTGTCGTTTGGAAATAAAGAGCAGATTGAGTATTGGATTAGGGGAAACATATTTCTTGTGAGAGAGCCATCCTTTGAGCATCACATTTGCAAAGGTAGATTGATTATCCGGATACACTTCCAGTGGGTTTTGCTGCAAGCTGAGACATCTATTGACAGCATCCATAGACTCTTCAGAGCTTGGAGTGGAAAGGAACTGGAACTTAGAACACATGGAAATTTGTTACGTGACTGAAGTGTTCTCTCACTTTTGCTTCGGAAACACTTAAAGCCACGTACTTTGCGGTAGGCAATGTTCTACATTTATTAAGTATACAGTTAACTCATCCAATCTGTTGCAACCACCTTATAAGGGCGTTACTCTAATTCTCTCCATTTGATGGATGGATAACTGAGGCTAGGAGATAAATTGCTCATTGCAGGGCAGGTGAAATTCCAGCCCAGGCTATCCGGGCTTTAGATCCTGTACTTTTAACCAATAGCGCTTTGCTTCTCTTTTCCTTGTATTTATCCCTTTCAAAAATGATTAACTGTATGCAAAATAATATAACTAACGACAGGGCCGGCAAGGGTTAACGCGGAAACAGATCCCCGAGCTGAAAAAACAAAAGCAAACCGGGGAGCCAGATCCCCTGAAAGCCCCGGTAGGAAATTCAATGGGCCTCCTGTTCCTTTAAACTCTCGCTTTCGCCCCCGCTGACACTTTACAAAGCCGCGGCGGCAACGGCGAGGACCACGCTGCGGCGCGCCACCCTCCGCCACCCTCCCGCGCGGGGCTGGGGTCCGAGGGGGCTTCGCGGAGTCGGTAACCCAACTGGCTCTCGTTTGCTTGCTCCACACCCAGCCACTGCCAGACCCAGCCTCCGGGAGGGAGCGAGCTATGGTTAACCCTTTCGTGCCCAGGGAGACCCCGCCAGGGTTGGGGCGGGGCGCGATCGCCCCCCGCAGTCTGGCGCGAAGGCGGCCCGGGCGCCAGGTGGGTGGGGGGAGCAGTTGGCGGAGCTGCCCAGGACGCGCGAGCAGGGTGCGGCGATGGCGCCCAGGCAGCGCGGAGGTACCGCCCCGCGCTCCCCCGCTAGCTCCCCGGACTCGTCCCCTTTCCCCGCGCTCGGGGGCAGCCGGCTGCCGGGGGCGCGCGGGGCTGGAGTGGCCCTCTCCCTCCCCTTCGCTAGGCTCCCCCGGCTTAATCTGTTGGCGGCGACTCCTCAGCCAGCCCCGAGGAAAGTGCAGTCATTGGACAGGTCGGTGCGGGCTGCCGGTTTCAGGGAGGAAGGTGGGAGAAGCCTGGAGGAGCGAAGGGGAGGGCGGAGGGAGGAGGGAGGAGGGTGCGGCGGCAGATCTGGCAAATTGCGAGCTGCCTTCCCTCCTCAAAGTGTGGAGCAGGAGCGCTGGGAGCGTGGCGAGGGCAGCGCCTCCTCCGCCACCAAACTCCTGGGGCTCCGCGGGGGCTTGGGGCCACCTCCTCCTGAGCCTGGAGGAACCCTCTCCCGATAGGTTCTAGCCTGACTCCCTCCCACCCCACCCTTTTCCTTTCTTCTTCCTCTTTTTTTTTTAGAGTAAAAAAAAAAAAAAACACACACACACACACACACATTTTTTTTTTTCTGGCTTCGGACCTCAGACTGCTGCAGCCCGAACCTTCCCAGGGCTCAGCTCTTTGGAGCTGCCCATTCCTCCCGCTGCGAGAACGGACGCGCGCCCTGCGTCGGGCGAAGAAAAGAAGCAAAACTTGTCGGGAGGGTTTCGCCATCAACCTCCTTCCCGCAAACCTAAAAACCTCCTGCCGGGGCCATCCCGAGACAGAGGAAAGTTCCTGCAGAGCCGACCAGCCCTAGTGGATCTGGAGCAGGCAGCAGCGGCGCTGGCTGTGGAATTAGATCTGTTTTGAACCCAGTGGAGCGCATCGCTGGGGCTCGGAAGTCACCGTCTGCGGGCACCGGGGTGGCGCTGTCCGAGTGGAACCGACAGTTTGCGAGCCCCGGCTGCAAGTGGCCTTTCCTCCCCGCAGTTGTTGTTCAGAGTCGGGTGAGGGCTGCGAGTGTGGCAAGTTGCAAAGAGAGCCCCAGAGGTCCGAAGAGGGCTGAGCTCCTGCTCGCGTTCGCTTCTTCCTCCTCTCGGTTCCCCACTGTGAAATCGCAGGGACATTTACAAAGGCCTCCGGGTCCCACCGAGACCGATCCGCAGCGCTTGGCCTGGTCGCGCCTCTTGCATCGGGAGCCCCCGAGCACCGGCGAAGGACTGGCGGGCTGGGTAGGGAGGTGGCGGCGGCGGCATGGCGAGGTTCCCGAGGGCCGACCTGGCCGCTGCAGGAGTTGTGTTACTTTGCCACTTCTTTACGGACCAGTTTCGGTTCGCCGATGGGAAACCCGGAGACCAAATCCTTGGTAAGTAAGATGCACTTTGGCTTTTTGATTTTGTGCACAGCTGAAGACCTTCCTGGATCTCTCGTTCCCCTCCTACTCTCTCCCCCTACATCACCTGTCTGCCCTTGGGAAACTTATTGCAGTTGCTTTTCGGGTAAACTTAGGATTCCCAAATGGGGAAAAGAGGGTTAAAAAGAGAAGGACGCCGGGGACTAGGGGTTTTCTTGAGGCTTTCGGGCTTACTTCACCTGGGCGGCAGGGGGTGGTACTGTCTCCCCTAAGTAGCCCCGGGAGGGCTCCAGTGTGAGAGCAAGCTGCTTCTGTGGATACATCTCCTAGGACCTGGCATCTCCAGGCTGTGTGCTCTACGGCTCCTCCTCCTTCCTCGCTGCTGGTTAAACTAAGCGAATGTGTGATGTGGGGTGGGTGGGGGACTTGGTGAAAGCCAGGGATTGCCGGTCTCCCCTCTGCATGAGAAAATTCCCTGTGGCAGCAGCTTCCTTCCCCTAGCAATCCCCAGTAACTCTGTCTAGTGAACCGGGCCAAGCGGGCCCTGGAAGTGGGGCGGGGTAGGTGCGGCCAGCGCAGAGGTGGGGAGCAGGTGGAAAAGGTGGGGGCGGGCGCGCCTCTGGATGCTTACCCCTGCTCCCATTGTCCTCCGCCTGCCAGCTTCACAGACAGGCCTGAACGCGCAGAGGGTTCCTCAGAGTGCCCTGATTTTGTCCCCGGGAGGACCCCCAACCTCCGCATCCTCTTAGTGGCTGTCCTGGCAGGTGCGCGTCCTGCGGGGAGCCGCGCCCCGCGGACGATCGCCGAGCAGAAGGCGCAGGGCTGCCTCCTGGGACCCTGCCCACCGCGAGCTGGGTGCCTACTCCCCATTTCTGCCTTTCAGTGAAGAAAGTGAAGACACAGGCAGAAAGAGATCTTGGCAGAAATTGGTGAATTCGGGTGGACTTCGAGAGGAGGTGAAACGAGAAAAAAAAGAAAAAAACTTGGAGGGAAAATAAAAGAAAACGAAAACTTACTGCTTTAGGATAATCAATTTGTTCTTTTCTGGTGGGTGGGTGTGTGTGTGTGTGTGTGTGTGTGTGTGTGTGTGTGTGTAATTTAAATGATTGCCCAGAAAGTATGCATGCGTCCTCAACAGTCAAACTTGAGAGTCACAGATGGAAGGCTGGGGGTACACCTGGGGATGCCAGGCAAGGTGAATCTTGAAGATCTTGAAGGAAACCCTTGAGTGAAACTTACCAAGCCGCGACTTAGAAGACAGTCACAACACTTCGCCTGTCCCTGGTGTAAACTGTTCTAGATAAAACACAGACACTGACTCTGCGCTCTTATTGATGGTTGGAGGGGTGTGTGTGTTGGGGTGTATGTATAGGGAGGCAATAGGATGACAATACTTTTAAAGCTGAGAATAAAATGCAGATTTCTTGAGTGTTGATTTGTCTTTGTCACATTTAATTGTTCTGCATTAATGGACATAGGTTGTTCTTGACTGTGTATGATTTATGACAGTAGACTATATACCTTTTGTTTATTTCTCTGATATGTTTCACTGGTCGGAAAAAAATAACACTTTTAGCCTTCCAGGAAATAACACATTTATTTAAAAATTGCAACAGCAATTTTCATGTACTTATTCATGGTATGAATAGATGCTTAATGAAAACAATTTATTCCACCACAAATGAGGCTAAAAGGATGTGTGTGCCAACTTGCATCCCAAGTTGTTTATTTAAAAACTTCTTAGGCACTAGGAATAAATACTGCATTTGCAGTAAAAATAAATAAATAAATGCCAGCAAATGTTTATCTTTTTATAAACCTTTTCCAGTAATGTTACTGAAAAAAGAATATATGTACACACACACACACACACATTTGCTATGCCAAGAAGTTCAGAAATTGAGGTTGAAATTCATCCCGAAGTAAGATTGGCCATATAATTAAAAGCTCTTGCTGTGGGAAATATAAAATACTTAAAATGTTCAACATCAATGTACTGGTATTTTAAGCTAGTTGAATATTTCTGATGAGAAATACACTCTAGAAGCCCATATATTGATAGGATTGATTTTTAAAAGAATGGTTTTAAATTCCTTGGCAAATTTTCGAAGACTTTTCTAAACCAAAGTAGCTTCTTTCCTGGACATCAATTTACATGTAGTTTTAAGAAGAAAATATTGATTAAATGGTTAGCTTACTGAATATATAAAAATGGCAAGGTGAAACAGAAAAAATACACAATTTTTTTGTAAAATAGTCTATATAAAAGTTCGATATGGGGGGAAAAGTCCAACAGTCTTGAAATTTGGCACGCAACAATCAGGATTTTTATTACAGACATTTTGGCACAGGAGAAATATCTGATTTCATAACCGGGACATTTTATTATGCATTACTTTAGTAAATGCTGCAGTTGATTTTATTGCCACCAGAGGGCAGAGAAACTGCTAATTTCCTCTATTCCCTTTTCTGTTTTAGAGGGAAGTAGTTTATCATATAATTTACACTTATTTTAGTTGTTCTTTCTCTGATTAAAGATTTTTTCTGTTATTTCCTGCTTTTGTTGGAGTTAAACAATTTACTTTGAATTATTACTAATTTGTAGAGTTTGTTATGAGAGTGTTGCTGTTGAGACATAATCACTAAAGTTTGTTTGCATATAAACCTAGAGCAAAATAGTATAATAGAGGGGTTAATTCAAGTGAATATTTATTACAAAATGGACATCTGTCCATATTGTTGGACAAAGGACAGGTTAATTATTTTATCAATCAATGACTTGAGGCTACATGCAAATTTTTAAAAGTATGAAATGTGAGTTTCTTTTTCCTTTAGCGAATAGATACAAGTTTTGAAGCTTGAGGTCAGGTAAGTTTGGACTGAGACATAATTGTAGTGTAGAACATTTATGTCAAAGATAATGTTTTTGTTTGTTCATGAATGTCTGCATAGAGGTTTGGAATTATTATTATTATTATTTTGAGTAGGAGTCTCACTCTGTCACTCAGGCTGGAGTGCAGTGGCACAATCTCCAGCTCAATGCAACCTCTGCCTCCCGGGTTCAAGCAATTCTCTTGCCTCAGCCTCCTAAGTAGCTGGGATTACAGGCGCCCACCACCACGCCTGGCTATTTTTGTATTTTTAGTAGAGACAGGGTTTCACCATATTGGCCGGGCTGGTCTCAAACTCCTGACCTCATGATCCACCTACCTAGGCCTCCCAAAGTGCTGGGATTACAGGCTTCACCCACCGCACCCAGCCTGGAATTATTATAATCAGGAGAATTTGCACATTTCAGTGTGATCTTCAGAAATAAACTCTTGTCAGGGAGAATGTATTTGAATAAAACTTAATAATGAAAGATTAATTTTGCTCCAGACAGGTTTCCTTACTACAAGAATCAGATACTCTCATGCAGAGGTGTAGAAAATATGTGTCCTTATCAATTAGTTTTTGTCATTTTTTCCTAAAACTATCTCCTATTGCAGAAACATTGTTTTTAAAGAGGAATGAGTTGATCAACAACCTTGATCACAGGATCTAAAGTCTTCAGCTGCAGACTGGGCGCCGTAGCTCACACCTGTAATCCCAGCACTTTGGGAAGTCGAGGTGGGCAGATCACCTGAGGTCAGGAGTTCGAGACCAGCCTGGCCAACATAGTGAAACCCCATCTCTACTAAAAATACAAAAATTAGCCGGGCGTGGTGGTGGACACCTGTAATCCCAGCTATACTTGGGAGGCTGAGGCAGGAGAATCGCTTGAACCCAGGAGGTGGAGGTAGCAGTGAGCCGAAATAGCACCATTGCACTCCAGCCTGGGGTGGGGGGTGACAAAGGGAGACTCTGCCTCAAAAAAATAAAAATAAAAATAAGTAAATAAACAAACAAATAAATAAAGTCTTCAGTTACTTCCTCATCACATTAAATACATTCTCTTCTCCATGGTCTTCAAGGCCATTGCAGTGTGGCCTCAAGCACTTTCCCACCCTCTCTCCCCTGCCTGTTCTTGAATGCTCTCACCAGATGAGCTGCTGGAGGTTCCCTGAGTGTGTACCATGCATTAACACTTCTGCCATTCCTCCTGCTCTTCCTTCTCTAAGTCCGTCTCCATCCATCCATTTTCCAATTTTTCCTACAGATTTATCTCAAGTGACACTCTCCACAAAAGGACGTGTTGTCTTAGAATTCTCAGTGCACTTTATGCCTTCTTCAAAGGCACTTGCTTGATACTGTAGGGTTTCCTTTTCTTTCCATTTCCGCCTCTCTCTCATGTATTCCATTAGACCAGACCATACGTCCCTGAGGTCAGGGTCTGTTGTCATTTATTTCTGAATCTGCTGTAGCAACTACCAATAAATAGTTGCAATAAATGGTTATTGGACTTAATTGAACTGAATAGAACTATAGTTCAAGCTGAATTATTAATTTGAATGCCACCTTGGGAGACTTTTAAAATAATTCCCATGCTGAGAGTTTGTCCATCAATAGGATAGAAATAAATTTAAAACTAACTTTAGAGAGTAATTGTTGAAACCAAAGCACAAGATCCAGAAGTCTGCTAAACTATCCTTCTACTATTAGGTGGGACTTTCAAAAATTCATTCGACCATTCTTCTATCCTGCTGGTTTCTGAGTGAATGTTCACTCATGTTCTTAATCTCATATCTTTTTTATTTTATACATTTCTTTTAAAAATTTCTTTGTTTTAATTTTTAATTTTTAATAATATGTATTTAAGCTGTGCAACATGATGCTTGTTTATTTTCAAATTCTATGTATAAGAGAAAATCAAATTGCATTTGTATTTCTGTGTCTGAATTATTTTACTTAGCACAATGTCCCCCAGCTTCATCCATGCTATCACAAATAGCAAAATCTTTTTTAAGGCTAAATAATATTCCATTATGCATATATATATGCACTATATATGCAATATATAGAATACATATGCACTATCTATGCAATATATAATATATATGAAATATATAATATATATGCACTATATATGCAAT